CATCTTCTCGTAGAGCTTCCGTGCCCGAGTTTTAGCCGTCAATTGTTGCCGCTCATCGCGGTTTGGGAAGCTCTGTACCTTGTATGTATGTAGTCCAGCTCTCTTCTTTGCATTCTGGACGTAGCTCTGCGACATGCCGATCTTTTTAGCCAAATCACGGCTTGAGACGTTGGGATTTGCTTTAATCATCCGCTTCACCTTTCCCTCCGTCTTTTTGTTCTCCGGTCCCGGTTTTCTTCCAGCTCCTTTGCCGTGGTCCAACGTCAACCGCTCCTGAAACCGCTTCAACACTCTGGAGACGGTTGAATGGTGAATGTTCAACATTTTTCCCAACTGCCGGTGCGACAGGTCAGGAAATTCCAGGTGTTTGGAAAGAATTTGTTCTCTCAACTCGCGTTGGTTCACCTCCATTTTCGTTGAATCGAAAAACACGACTTCGAGTTTGACAGCATGTACACAATACACATCAATGAGAAAGTGTGCAAAATTTGGCTGATTTTTACCCAATGGTAAAAAAGTTATGCCCTGTTGAATGTGTCGCAATAATTTCGTGTTCGCCCTTTATTTGCCAGCTGTAGAAACTACATTTCTCCTGACCAACATGGTTTCCACCCCAAACGTTCGGTCTCAACAAACCTCGCTCCTTTCATTTCTCTATGCCTACGGAATATGGAGGCAGGGGCACAGGTGGACGTCGTATATACGGATCTCAAGGCTGCTTTCGACCGGGTTGATCATGCCATTCTAATTGCCAAACTCGAGAAGCTTGGTGTTTCTCATGGACTCACTCGTTGGTTTGAATCGTATCTTACCAATCGAGAGCTTTGTGTGAAAATCGGGTCTAATCAATCGGAATATTTTTCAAACAACTCAGGCGTTCCTCAAGGCAGCAATTTGGGACCGCTGCTATTCTCGATATTCATTAACGAAATCGGTTTGATACTTCCAACTGGCTGCCGGTCATTCTATGCAGACGATGTCAAGATGTACGTGCTTGTGCGATGCTTCGCTGACTGCCTTCGGTTGCAGCACCTGATCGATAGTTTCGAAGAGTGGTGCTCTAGGAATTTTCTCACGTTGAGTGTTCAAAAATGCAATATCATCACTTTCCATCGCAAGCTAAAACCTATTGCATTCAATTATACGATCGATAACCAACCTCTGCAGCGTGTGGACAACGTTCGTGATCTAGGAATTAAGTTAGCTTAAGAAACTTAAAAAAGTAATATAAAATGTAGCAGACAGGAATCGAACCCTGAGGGTTCAGATTATTGACTCTATCAACGCTTGTGAAATCGAACAGGCCAAAGGCGTTTAAGAACCACTCGTAGTACCTTATGTAGTACGATAATTATCCATACACTGAGGCATTACTTGGGCTACAAAATGGTGAGTGACAATCTGGAAGGAGCGATATACCTAGCTCCGGTCCTCACAAGTTTCTACCTCACGCCTCCACGAGTCATATGATCACAAAAGACTGCCAGCTGAAACATGGACACAGCTGGTTGGCGTAGCCTGGGCAATGTTGTCAATCCGACAATAGCAGAGTGAGGAGGTGCGACGCGAACACTGGCGCGGTAACCATAGCACGGTGATAGAAGAAATGCTTCGCCAACCTGAGCATCTGGTCACCATGGAGGTGCGGCTCAAACAGCGTCTGACTGGCATCCAGCGCTGAATAAGAAATGCTCTTCCCCGGAAGCTACACCTAAGATGGCAGCCCCATCACGGCGGATAGGAGACCTTAGGCCAACCACCTACTGTCTCTGAAACCTTTACAATTGTTACAGAAACCAACAGAGAAAGACATCGAACTGATATAACGGCAACGACTTTTAGCGCAAAACAACAGACACGAATTGGATCATGGAATGTATTGACGTTAGCCCAGCAAGGAAAACTGGCACAACTCGCCAACAAGGCCCGACGCATGAAGCTAGAAATCCTGGGACTGAGTGAAGTTCGTTGGCCAAACTTTGGAGAACACAAACTGCCGTCGGGACAGGTACTACTATACTCTGGTATTCGAGGTGAAAACGCTCCCCGCCATCGTGGAGTTAGTCTGCTACTTAGCGTCCAGGCAAGTGCTGCGCTCATCAAGTGGGAGCGTGTTAATGAGAGGATAATCGTTGCCAGATTTAGAACACGGGTTCGTAACCTTACCATAATCCAAAGTTATGGGCCAGGACAAGGAGAATTTTTACAGTCAACTGAATGCCGTCGTGGATAAGGTTCCAAAGGGTGACATCAAGATCTACACTGGCGACTTCAATGCGAAGATCGGCTCCGACAACACGGACTATGAGCGTGTCATGGGACGCCATGGTCTCTCGGCGAAATGAGCGAGAACGGTGAGCTGTTTGCAGAATTTTGTGGCAATAACGACATGGTGATCGGGGGCTCGCTCTTCCCCCATCGGCCAGTGCACAAAGTCACGTGGGTTTCTCGTGATGGACATACCGAAAATCAGATCGACCACATCTGCATCAGCCGAAAATGGAGACGGAGCCTTCTTGATGTCCGGAATAAACGCAGCGCCGACATCGCGTCTGACCATCACCTTCTAATCGGTGAAATCCATGCCTCCTCTACGATATCTCACGACGCCTGAGTGGAGCAAGGATGAACCCGAGGATGCCAGTGAAGGACACGACTGGACAATTGCTTACCGACCCCTCAGCAGCTGAAACATCAACATCTCGGCATGATCCGCCTAGGGTGCGGCGCATCACTCGCGTCAATTCCGAGGCCCCATCACTGCAGGAGATTGAAGCAGCTATCCGAAGCATGAAATCCAACAAGTCTCCAGGGGTCGATCGCATATCAGCAGAGATGCTCAAAGCTGACCCCATGCTATCCGCACAAATGTTGCATCAACTATTCTGTAATATCTGGGACACCGCGGCTTTTCCGGCCGACTGGATGCAGGGCATCTTAGTGAAGGTCCCAAAGAAGGGGGATCTGACTGTGTGCGACAATTGGCGAGGCATCATGTTACTGTGTATTCTTCTCAAAGTTCTGCGCAAAGTTATCCTGAATCGGATACAGGAGAAGATCGACGCGACTCTCCACCGGCAGCAGGCAGGATTCCGTGCCGGAAGATCTTGTGTGGACCATATTGTCACGCTCCGCATCATCCTGGAGCAGGTCAATGAATTCCAAGAGTCCCTTTATTTGGTATTCATTGACTACGAAAAAGCTTTCGACCGTCTCAATCACGAGAATCTGTGGGGCGCCCTGAGACGCAAGGGAGCCCCGGATAAAATCGTCAACCTCATCGAAGCGCAGTATGAGGCTTTCACGTGCAGAGTTCTGCATAACGGAGCCTTGTCCGACCCTATCCGGGTAGTCGCTGGTGTGAGACAAGGATGTATACTATCACCGCTACTGTTATACGCCAGCGAGACGTGGTGTGTATCAGCGGAGAACACTCAAAAGCTGCAGGTCTTCATCAACCGATGCCTGCGGTATATAATTCGTGCCTGGTGGCCTCACAACTGGATCTCGAATGCCGAGCTCCATCGTCGATGTCATCAGAAGCCGATAGCAACAGAAATTCGACGGGGCGGAAACGAAATTTGCAAGCAAGCGCTGGATTGGAATCCGGCAGGACATCGCAGCAGAGGCAGACCCAGGGGCTCATGGCGGCGGAGCCTCAATAAGGAAATTAAACAAGTCGATAGGAATCTGACCTGGGCCCAGGTCAAGGCAAAAGCGAGCAGCCGCCCAGGATGGAAGTCTTTCACGTTGGCCCTTAGCACCGCTGGTGGTGCACAGGACTCTTAACTAAACTAACTGAGGCATGACTTCTGAATTTTGATTTCATAAGATACTTATGAATTTCATAGGCATGAGTTATGCATTTCATAAGCACGACTTATGAATGATTATCGTCATACATGAGGTATTACGAGTGGTACACACCTTTAATCTATTCTATTTCCCAAGCGTTGATAGACGTACGAACAAATCACGGAGTCAATAAACTAAACGCTCAGGATTCGATTTCGGTCTGCTAAATTTTATATAACTTTTTTAAGCTTCATAAGCTAACTTATGAATTCTGTTTCATAAGCCAAAATTGCGATTTCCATAATAAATCCTTTTGTTGAAAATAAGTGGTTCTTATGGAATTCTAACGTTCCTTTGCCTCAGTGTAAGTGCCTTATCAAATCAAAATTGCTCAGGTTCATAAGTCATGTCTTATGGAATTCTTAAGATTGTTTTGACCAGTGTGGGTCTTCGGTGTTGAGACGGATCTTTCAGTTTATGAAATACTCAGACAGGAAATTCAAGCCTCTTTGAAGTTCGGCAGTCAGAGTTCCGATGACTCTTCCCTAGTATACGGTGGATGTGTCATCTTCGTACAGAGACAACGTGCCACCATCTGGGAAAGGCTATCGGAGGCGAACAGATTGAACGCATCGTTTAACATGAATGATGTGATGTCATTCGAGGGACCTGATATAATTGTGAATGAACATTTGCGAAAAAAGGATCGGGAGCGACCCACATATTGAGAAACACTGCTTTAGAGGATACGTCGAGCAAACTTCTATGGCAGAGAACACCCAACTTAAATGGCGAGAACTTCTGTTGTAGTATAAGTCTATTAATCCTATGCAATGCAAGTTTTGAGGACTTTCAGGGTAAGTCCGGTTTTTTAAGGTCAATTCAGAGGACAAAAAAGCAAGCCAAAATAATTGGTAAAGAAAATTCTAAAGGTTTTCAGGGTAGAGTCCAGATGACATTCAAAGGACTTCCTGAAGAGTACCAGAATTTTGAAAGATAGGATATTATAAATTGTTCACTTGCTTTGCACCCGAGGTCGCCTATTAAAGATAATCAATAATGGAATTCAATAACTCACTTACCTTATTTGATCAGCAGACTAGCAGATAACGAATCAAGACTACCGCTTTTCAAGACCGGAGAATGCCGCTTGAAGGATTGAGGGAATTTCACAACTGCACATTGAATCCTAACACTTGTTACCATTTCTTCTTTGATATACATAACTTGTTTATTTTTTCAATATAATATATTCTGCCGAACCATCTTCACCATTTCATTCAGTTCTCAAATTGCTCGATTTTTCTGTTCTGCTGCTTCACTTAGTCCTCGTCACGATCTCAAAGTAGTTTCACTTAGTACTTTTCTTCCCTTTTCCATTGTTCTTGTTTTGCTTTGCTCTCTGATTTGTGTTATTAAATATTCCACTTAAAATTTGCTCGTATTTGTTTTTCTATCGACACATTGTATTCTTCTGTTACATTATGCTTGTTTTTGTTAGTCTGAGTTTCAATTTCTTCACGGTATTAAACAAATATTGACGGAACAAAAATAGTAGAATTAACTTTACAACGAACTGTTCTCCCTTCCCGCTCGAAACAACAGTCATTTTCGAGAGACCACCTTGAAGCAGTTGCTTCACTGAAATACGTTATTCATGCTTAATTGTACACACAGTCCTCGTTGAGAAAGATTCTAGTAGGTGTATAGAAAGATTGTACCAGCTGCTTGTCCACGTCCGGAACAAGGCTCGCTGTTGAGAATTGCTTTAGTAAATTTTTCCTAAACATTGGTGCTGTCTACACTGTTTGATCGTTTCCGGGGATGGATTTTAGCTTGAAGCTCTCTATTCGAATAAATTTTGTTTGGTTTCTTGGTGTGTTAACTTTTCTCTTACGTAAACCGACGATTTTTGTTTGTTAATAAATATTCTTAGTAGCATTTCTGTCGTTATACTCTAACTAAGAAGGAGTATAAGGAGCCAAAATGCAATCAAAGTCCAAACACCACACATCGAAGGTGTTCGGCGTTCAATCTGTGAAGGCTAATACACTGAAGATTTTTATTTATATTTACCTGCATGCGTTGCAATAGAACAAACTCCTTGCCGTTGATTTTGCTTGAGTCGAGAATCTTCTCTTGCCGTGCTAGGGATGTGTAGACTTATTCCGCCAGAGGTTCCTCGAGTTGCTTCTGCTGTTGTTTTGATTCACGTGGAGCTGCTTCTGGTTTTGGCGGCACCGTTGCCGTCGGACTCGACTCCGATTCAGCTGGAATTGAACCAATATCAGCAATAGCGATTGGACTCGAGGAGCCATCGTCATTCGTTGCCGCCGGCGTCGTCGTCGTCATTGTCGTCGCCGCCGCTGCCACCGCCGTCACTGCCGGTGTCGCTGGAGGATTACTGTTGGCGTTGAAGCTCAAATCGTTGGCATCGAACAGCGACGAGGTTTCCTCGTCGGTGGTATGTGAAATCGATGCTGCCCCATCACCAGCTTCCCGGTGCAAATGCTGCTGAGATTGGGGCAGGGTGTCTTCTTCGGTTGCGTCCGTCGGTGCAAGCTCGTTAGGTTTCCTGCTAGTGTCTTCACCGTTGCCAGTGGTTTCATCAGTACGCTGCCGGACGGCCGGCTTTGGTCGCAAGTCTGGAAAGAAAATCATGAATTAGTGCACGGAGGACAAAATTTTCCTCGTCAGTACCCCCCACCTGATTGCGAATTGTCCTCGGTAAACAGTCCCATGATAGGGTTGTTCTCTTCCGGCTTCCTATTGCTCAATTCTTCCAAAAGAGGTTCCTTCATCACTGGTGTCTGTCCCACCAAATGGTGCGGTATGTGAGGATTAGTAGCACTGGCCTGCGGTGCCAACTGACCACCAGTGCCGACAGCATTTGCCCCCTGTTGACCATGGGCAGCGGCTACCGCAGCTGCTTGCGACGGCGTTAACGATTTCCTTGTCTTGTCTGCCTTGCGCCACAGGGTAATCTCCTGCTGTTTGAAGTACCGCCGATCTTCCGTATCGATAAGGACCAAGTTTAGGAAATAGCGCACGGAGAACTTCTTGTTGATTTCCCTCATCGTCAGCGTCAGATCGTAACCGGCCAGGAACACTCGGATCGGTATGCTTTCCCCCTTAACCGGTGAACCATCCATGATTTCGTACTTGGCAATTATTTCGTTCTCGGTGAAGATGTTGGGACCTGCAAAATAGCAACATTTCAATCATCCATTTAATCACACATTTGCAACACCCGATCACAAACTTACCCGATCCAGTCTGTTCGCGTTTGATGATGGCAATTTCCATGTGCTTGATTTTAATGCGCACCAATAGGAAATAAATTTTGCCCACAATAACGTCTCGTAGATGATATCTGCAAACAGAAGGCCCGGTCATTATATGCTGCAAGGAAATGTGCAAACAATTCAATCGCTCACTTGCTCTTGTTGTATTCAAACTCTATGTGCAGGCAATCCTCGATACCGACTTCCATCTTAATTGGACTGTTGGTGTCCGGGTAGCTCGACAGGGTGTGCACAGCAATGTCCACCTCGCGGATGATGTCACTCAGACGGCGCACGATCGTTACCCTCAGGAAGTACCTACGGACCACCGAAAAGACAATCGGTTTTCAACGCCCAAATTTAACACATTCTCAAATCCTACCTCAGACGGACATTGGATCCAACGTACACCTCGTAGGGTTTCTCTACGTTGGCAAATTCAAACGGGTACGATGTGTTCTGAATGAGATCCCCCGGGCGGGCCAGTTCACGGACCAAACTGAGGAAATCGTGATGATTTCCGCGGTCGTAGTACAATTCAATTTGTCCTGTTGACGTTCATAATTGGTTACCTGCTGATTGATTAATAAAAACGTAAAGTGCTGCTCACCGATTAGTTCCACCTTGATGCCTTGATGTTCCAGTTTGCTGCCCGGTTTCTTCAGTGTAATGTTGACCTTTCCGCTGACGGTTTCACCATCGTAGTACAGGAGGTACTTTTCCTTTTTGCCATCCTCGGTTTTGATGTCCGCGTGCTGCCGGTTCTCGGCACCGTCAAACACGATGTCAATGTCCGCCGATTGGCCGAATCGGAGGAAGTTCTGCAGTTGGGAAGATAAGAAACGAGAACAGTTGGACGGTTTGTCAAAATTAGGTTCACTTTTGGATGGTGGGTGTGTTTTGGAAGGGCCTAATTGGCATCAACATGAAACCCGGGCCAAAGTATGTGATATTTTAGCGAACTGAGTAAGTTATGCTTCGATCTTACTGTGAAGCTTTTTGTTTTGAATCCGCAATTTTGTTTGAAACAAATTACTTTTTTAGCTGGATTCAACCGATAAAATCAGATTCTATAACTGTTCAGTTTGAGGATGTCGACTCAATGAAAAAAAAACAAACAAATTCCCTGATTTTCCAGAAAAAAATCCAGATAGGGTTAACTACCCCATTTCCGGCCTATTAGCACCAAACCGAATGTTATTATTACTGATGGCTTCCAAATTTATTTACCTTATTTAATAAAGGTAATTTGATAAAGAGAAACAAATTGTTGAGATATTATTAAAAGTCTAACAATGCTTCTTGACGCCAAACTCGGCCTACGGATTCTAAACTCGGCCTAACGCATTGAAACGCCAATGAATTCACTTCAGCCTCGGTTGAAGATAAAAATTGATTCGGTCGGAGAACTTCTTTTGTTTTGGGGAATTGTTCCAACGAATAAACTAATCGCGAAACACTGTCTTTTAGCAAATGAGCTTAAGCTGGAATTATTTATTTTCATTAGTTTAAGCATTAGGTTAATATTGTGTAGTGTAGACTTACAATTCAGTGTAGGCTTCGTATTTTAGGTTAGGTAAGGTAATAATAGAATTCAGTATCGTACTATGGGCTGTAAGTACATAACTATCATACATTTTACATTTTGCATATTGTTTTTTTTTTTTTTTAAGATTTACTCACAATTATAGTCAATTTAATTAATCAAATGTTGGCTTGTATTGTACTGCGATTTCGAGCAATTAGTTCGCACCTACAATTAATGATAAGGCCGTTCGCAATGCTGAGTTTCAAAATTGTTTTAAACTCCTCGACAATTCTATAATTTGAAACTGTCAAAAATAAAACGCACAGTTCTAAAAGATGTTTGTAATCATCAAGTTCCATAAACTTTACTGTTTTCTATGAAGTTCATAGAGTTGTTTGTGAAGCTCTTCGAAACATCTTTAAATACATACAAAGAAATTTGAAACAGAGTTCCATTCGTGTTTCAAACTCGCTCAGAAATAAAACAGAATAGTCGAGCAGTTGCAAATCTGGTGCAAAATAGTGCTCGAATAATGAAACTGCAACTCAGCATTGCGAGAGGTGCGTTTCTGTTCTAGTTTCAAATTGAAACAATCCTTATAAAATACAACAGCATTGCGAATGGCCTAAGTAAATTATTTGTGATAGAATATAGTAATTTTAAGTTCTGTTCTTACGATATTCGAAATCACTTAAATATGCATGGAAATAGCCTCAATAGTAATAAGACTATGCTTATAGTATAAGGAAAATTAATAAATTAACTGTAATATAGAATTTTTTCCGTCTTCCACGCGCTATCTACCACGCATTCAATTCCGCTTTGTTTTGCCCTCTCTGAGTTTCCGACGCAAGATCTGACGTTCGCCCGTCATCACCGTTTAAGTTAATCCTGCAAAGTTGGTACTACGATGCTAACCATCGTTGTCAGACTGTACAGCAACATTCCCGCCCCCGTAACACTGCGTATCTCGAGCAGTTTTACCTGGATAACCGACGTCTAACACGGCTAACTTGCTGACTGGTCTTCTTAAGAATCCCGAGCTCGTCTGAACTGTAGCTCGTCGTACCCGGCCATCGAGGCCCGACTTTACTTCCATTATTCGACCCCGTATACAGTTGTTCCGTTTGCTACTATCCGCAATGACCACTAGGTCTCCTACTTCTATTTGTTTGGTATCGCTAAACCATTTTGTCCGCCTACAAATCGTTGGTAAATACTCCCTCAACCAACGGCGCCAGAAGATGTCTAACTGATGTCGGATCTGCTTCCAGCTGCTTACGACTGCTTCCCGGTGATCTGTGGAATTTGCGACTGGTTGCTTGACCCCACAGGAGCTCCCAAGCAGAAAGTGATTTGGCGTTAGGGCATCTTGCTCTTCTGACTCCACAGGCAGGTAGGTTAACGGTTTAGAATTGACCATACTTTCCGCTTCGACTAGCAATGTTTGGATTCCTTCGTCGTTAAGCTTTCTTCCGGTGTCGATACTTTCAATGGCAGATTTGATAGAACGGACCATCCTCTCCCAAGATCCACCCATATGTGGAGCTGAGGGTGGGTTGAACAACCATTTTGTATTGGCATTGGTAAATGTTTCTGCCAGGCCGTTACAGATCTGTTCTCTAAGCACTCTCTCAGCACCTTGGAAGTTGGTGCCGTTGTCGCTGTATACTTCCAAAGGGGCTCCACGCCACCCGACGAATCGGCGAAAGCACGTTATGCAGCTCTCCGTACTCAGGCTAGGCGCAACTTCGAGGTGAACTGCGCGAGTCGTCAGACATGTAAACAATGACACCCAGCGCTTTGCGTGAGCGCGCCCAATCTTCACAAGCACCGGGCCAAAATAGTCCACTCCAATATATGAGAAAGGACGTTCAAAGGATGCTAATCTGGCGACCGGCAGAGGTGCCATTTTTGGCGTTGACGGTTGTGATCTGTAGACCTTACACTTTTGGCAAAATTGAGAAGTCTTCCTTACTGCTGCCCGAAGATGAGAAATATAGAAATTCTGTCTTACCTCATTCACCACCGTCTCGGGATTCGCATGGTGGTTTCTACGGTGATAGTTGCCCAGAATCAGAGTTGTCAATCGGTGTGACTTCGGTAAGATTATCGGAAACTTTGCATTGAACTCTGTGTTTCCTGCTGCTCCAATCCGTCCATCCTGCTTCAGTACTCCACACTCATCGATGTATGGAGACAGCTTATAGATTGGTGATGATTTGTCGACATTCAGTTGGGCGATCTCGTCTGGATAACTCTCCACCTGACAGCAGTGCCAAAGAATGCTTTCCGCTCTTCGAATTTCGTCAGAGTTCAACGGCGCTATGTCTCGCTGCCCTCTACTTCGTCGAGCATTTCGGATGAACCGGAGTGTGTAACCCATTGCCCGGACAAGACGCATCCATCGAGAGAATCGTTCAAACTTCACTAGAGGCTCCAACGTCGAGCCTCCATGCACGAAACACGGTCGAAGTTCCTCCTCTGTACAGACCTTCTGCTTGAAATTCTGTTGTGGCTACTGCTCCTCAGGATGGTAGAGAAACTCCGGGCCACGGAACCATCCTCTATTGGGAGCCACAGCATACCAAGAACTCTTTCTACCCCTTCGATTTTATCCAGGTTCAGGTCCTTCACTTCCGAAGCCACCGTTTCGCCCATATGACTGAGCACCTCGTGGGATTGGAGTGCCAATCTCGAATTTCGAAACCGCCCTTTCCGTGGATCATTTTCACCTCTGCTGCCATTCGTTGAGCTACTGTCCAAGTAGTCGTCCACGTAGTGACACTTGATTATCGCCTCCGCTGCCCTGGGATAGTCGACAGCAAATTCGTCTGCGTTACGATTCTTGATGAACTGGGCGCTACACGGCGAGCAACTGGAGCCAAAGGTGGCTTCGTCCATGAAGTACATGTACATGAAGTACACATCTGGTTTTTTACTGGGGTCTGTTCGCATCAGAAAGCTTTGGGCAGGACGGTCTGCAAGTCGTATACGAAACTGGTGAAACATTTCGCGAATGTCATCGCTTACCCCACAGGCTTCTCTCGAAAGCGGCATAGAACCCCTGGCAGACAAGACAGCAGATCCGGTCCTTTAAGAAGAACCATGTTGAGAGATATGCCGTCCATTTTGGCCGCAGCATCCCAAATCAACCGGACCTTACTAGGTTTTTTGGGGTAGGTCACAACGCCGAGTGGTAAATACCATGTTCTGCGTGGGTCAGCATTTTTCAGCTCCTCCTCAGAAGCGCGATGCGCGTAACATTTCGTCTGGTAGTCGTCAATCTGTCGAAGGACATTTGTCTTCAGTTCGGGCTCACGAAACATCATACGTTCCAAGCACTCCAATCCACGAAGAGCCATGTGGTAACTATCTGGAAACTCGAAATGATCGTATCTCCAGAGGAGTCCGGTTTCAAACCTACCGTCCACACGAACAGTGGTATTGGCTAGAATCTTCCTTGCTCCCGTGTCCTCCGCAGATTCCAGTTTCATCATCGGCTTGGTTCCTGTATCTTCCTGCTCGAAATACCGCTTGACTACCTCGTGAAGATCCTTTTCTGGCTGAAATTCCGAGATATGACAACGGACTTCGCATTATTACCTCCGCCGTATACACACCACCCGAGTCGCGTTTTTGTGGCTACTGGTTCGCCTTTGTGCCCTTCTCGGCATTTCAGCGGCATGGACAAGTTCAACTGGTCCAAACCAATAAGCACGCGAGGCACGGCGTCTTCGTATCGAGCTATCGGTAATCCTTTGAGGTGAGTGTATTGCAGCGAAAGTTGTTCCGGCTTCACCGACTGAATTGGAAGGTTCAACTCAGATACCGTTCTAGCTGACTCGATATTTCGTGAGAATCTACTTCACACCGGGTTACATTGCTGGTCCAATTTAGGTACAAGGCTCCTTTTGGTCCGGACTCTCCCAATCGCTCAGCTACCGATTTTTCGACCAACGTTAGTGAAGAACCATCGTCCAAGAAAGCGAATGTGCTAACACTTCCACTTCTCCCCGTCAGAATCACGGGAACGACTCGGAACAACGTTTTCGTTTCTTGATCTCGATGCGAATGGTTTTCGGCAGTAACTGGCTTGACCTTGTTTTCCGTTTGGGAGTGTAACAGCGGATGGTGCTTGAACTCACACCCATCAATCCCGCACTTCGTAGACAATCGAAAACGATTCCTTCCGTGCTGGTTGAGACAAGTCCGGCAAAGCTTCAAGTTGTGTATTCTTCGCCAACGATTTTCTACGTCGAGTTCAAAAAATTGCTTGCACTCCTTGAATCG